AATGTCCGCGAAGACACATTCTTCCAGGGCCTGTTCTCAAGGATCCAAGAAAAAAAAAAGAAACAAAGTTTTTAGGTTTTAAACACCCCCGCACTCTTTTTGGAAATTCATACCAGGGATTTAGCATTGTTTTGTAAACATCTATTTCGGAGTAATTCACATATGAAAGAAATGCAAAGTGATAGGGTGTCTCCCCCAGTCCGTTTTCTGCTTGCAGATTGCTGATGCGAGTTGACCTTTTCCTTTTTGCTCCAGCAGCAAGATTAGCAGCGGTGTCCTAATGCGCCCTCTTCACCTGTGGAACCCGAGCGACGAGAGAAATTCGCTCGCTTTCCTGACTACTGAAGGCGAGTCCGTCCTCCGACCTGCGCGGGAGAAACGCGCGGGAGGCCCAGCGAGCTTAGGAGGGAACTGGCAGGCCAGGACGCTTGGCGGCCAGGGTGCGCCGGTCCCCCAGGCACAGCTCCTGTGGCCCGCAGCCTGGCGGGGTGGCCCGGAAATGTCTTCTGGGTAGGCCACCGGTGTGGGGCGTGGGGAACCGTTGCTGCGAACCAAACCACCTTTTCCCCTTACACTTTGCGGGTGGGGCGCGTCTTTTGGGAGAAGGATGCGCCCCCTAATTCCCAGCTTTCCCATTTGGATTTGAGGTGTGTTCAGAAGGATCCCAGCCGCGGGTCTAGAAGCAAAGCACCGTAATACGCAGGGGTAGCGTCGCCTTTGGGGATGGGATCATTCTAGCACCTACTTCAGCCCCTTTCTGGCTTCCTTTGGGTTTAGGACGAGGTCCTTGGAAGCCCGGCTTTGGCCAGCGACCGAACCCACGGACCTCCGCTTCTGCTCAACCCCCTGGGTACAGCCTTCGAGTCAAAGAGATTGGCTCACGGGCAGTTTGGGCCAGAATGTGCGTGTCTTTCCATAACAGTAATGGCAGCTTCTGCGTTGCACCCCGCAGCTAGCTTCATTATCAGTTACATTCTGAGGGTGGTGGTAAGTGTGGCATGAAGGTAAGGTAGGAGAAAGGGGGAAGGTAGTGAGTATCTGTTTCCTTTCCGTCAGCAAGGCCGGGTCTTAGGGAACCTCATCAGCAGAGCTCTCAGCTGTCATTGGATTCCCCAAACCTTGGACTTCCCTCGGTCTTATTTGTTAGTCACAACTCTTTTAAAGGATTTCTTTTTATCCAGTAAACGGTCCCAAGGTCTGCAGCTATTGCATTCCTTGCTTTCCAAAGTTTTAGAAAACCTAAATACGATTTCTAAATATCTTTCAGCAGCTGAAGTTAAAATTCAGCTTTCTTCCTGATCTTAAGCACAGGGTGTGGAGGATGCGCCGCCACCTGTATCTTGGCCCAGCGGTCATTAGGTAAGGAGGTGAATGAAATGGCTCAGGTGGATTTTGGGAATCTTTGAGCTTCAATGCTAAAGCATATTAAACGTTTGGTGATGAAAACTGGAAAACGCTGCGCTCCCAGCAGCATGGACTGATCTGATTCACTATCAGCTAGCGGTTTCATGGAAAAACAGCAAGATAGGTCTCTCCGAGCCTTTCAGATAAAAAGCTTTTTTCAGATTAAAACCCTATGATTCAAAACAAGATCTCCATTTCACATTGCAAGGTAAGCAACCTGCCGCTTTGCTGCAGCAAGCTCTACTTATTTTGGCACATTTATTAAATAAAATTATGACTAACCACATAACATTCAGATAAGTAAACAAGTCCTAACCTAGTAACCCGATCCTTCCTGGTCATTTGTAAACCAACAGCACCTCCTACAGGAATTAATTTGCTAGTGTTAAATTATGTTAAATATTAGGCCAGGGAAAAGGGGAGTGCCCCAAAAATATCTTCTAAGTCTGCCAGTGTGTTTCCAGGCCCTTGGGCAAATAAATGTCACTAGGCACACCCAGATTTCTTTAAAAGAACTTCTATTAAGAGCAAGAAGGATGACAAACATCATCAAACGTTTCCTGTGGTTGTCTAAAAAAAAAAAAAGTCACTGTTGATGACTTTCGTTCTTGAATATTCATTACACTTGAAGGATTCCTTTATGTTTTTCAGTGTTAGGAGACTCTTTTCACATATAAGTAAACATCCCTTTTATTATGAGAGTTAATTTCTGATTTCTACCTTATATTTCAAAAGCAAAATAGAATTGGATGTCTAACATTTTTTACTTAAAAAATCACTTTCCTGCCCTGGCTGCTTTGGCTCAGCAGTTAGAGCACTGGCCCATGGACTGGAGGGTCATGGGTTCAACTCCTGGTCAAGGGCAGTACTTGGATTGCAGGTTTGATCATGCCCTGGTTGGGGTCATGTGAGGAGGCAATCAATCGATGTGTCTCTGTCACATTGATGTTTTTCTCTCTCTCTCTTCCTCTCTCTCCCTTCCACTCTATCTAAAAATTAACAGAAAAATATGCTTGGGTGAGGATTAACAAACAAACAAAAAAATCACTTTCTTTTTACCCGTATCATTAGAGTATGTAGAATAAGGTGAGCCTCTTTAAAGCTTACTTTATGATTGTATGTGAAAATGTCTCCCTTCAATTTTTAAGTTTGCAAGGTTGATATGCTAGCCCCTTGGGGCTGTCTAGCACCTTTGGGTGACCAAGGCTAAAAGCCACACAGCAAATCAATATCTTCCATAAATACATGGGAATTTTCCTCACCATTAGATGGATAAGTTGGTAGCACTTTATATTTTTTGTCTTAACAACAAAGGATAATTAAACCAGATATTTAAAAAATTCCTACAGCTACATAAAATTAAAAGAGGATCACATCTGTGAAAGTCAAATGAAAAAAGTGTAAAAAATAATAATGCATTTCTTTAATTCATTTTAAATTACAGGATGAATTTCAACATTTCACGAACATTATTGGTTCAGAAATTCTTTAAGGCAGTAGATATTGCATAAGTTTTGACATAAAAATGATAAAGTCCAAAAAGGTATAAAATAGAAAATAATTAATGTAACACAAATTAACTCAAGGTGTAAATTAGCAGTATTTACCCATTTCAAATGCATGCTTTCTTTTTTTAAATGAAGGAAAGGGATCTTTTAGGTGCACTGTCAGTTATTAAAGAATACCATAGAAGGAATCCAAGTTCTTCCCCACCAACTCTCTGAAAAATTTAAATAATCATGGGTTGCTTAAATAATAAAAGTTAGTTGCTTCTCAATCAGAGGACATTTGTGTGTGCTTATATAAGTCAAAGACATATATATATAAAGACTACATGGAGTGGTTTTATTTACCTCTTCTTTCAAATATATTTACTTCTTATAGAATTTACAAAATTAAGACTTCCAACCCTCAAAACCATATAATCAATATTTGCATTGTATTCCATGACAGATGTTTAAAAAATATGGAACCCTGATAAAAAATACTTGTGTCCGTGATTATTAGTATCTAGTTTTTTGTACTATTTTTTTTTCCCCCTGTAGTTTCCCTTTGAAACACTAGGGAAAATTTTGCAGCTAAGTTTAAATATGCCTTATATACCTATACTCATAAAATATAGCAGAATAGTTTACATTGGTCCATTTGTAACATTACATAAATGCTTAACCTTAAGAACTGAATTGTTTAATAGCTGCATGCCAGTATTGAAAGTCCATCTGTGGTAGGTAGAATAATGGTCTCTTAAAGACATACACATCCTGCCCTGGCCGGTTTGGCTCAGCGGTTAGAGCATTGGCCTGCGGTCCTGAGAGACCCGGGTTCAGTTCCCGCTAAGGGCATGTACCTTGGTTGCAGTTTGTCCCTGGCCCTGGTTGTGGGTGGCAGCCACTCGACGTGTCCCTTTCACGTCGATGTTTCTCTCTCTCTCTCCCTCCCACACTCTATCTGAACAAAAAAAATAGAAAAAAAAAAATATATATATATATACACACACACACATCCTAATCCCTGGAACCTATGAATATGTTAGGTTGTGTGGCAAAGGGGAATTAAGGTTGCAAATTAGTTGATTTTAAAATAGGATGGTTCTCCTGGTGGGTTCATTGTAATCACCAGGGTCCTCAAAAGTAGAAGAGGGAGCCCTGGCCGGTTTGGCTCAGCGGTTAGAGCATCGACTGGCGGTGCGGTCCGGAGAGACCCGGGTTCGGTTCCCGCTAAGGGCATGTACCTCGGTTGCAGTTTGTCCCCGGCCCTGGTTGGTCGTGCGGGTGGCAGCTACTCGATGTGCCTCTTTCACGTCGATGTTTCTCTCTCTCTCTCTCTTCCTCTCTCTCCCTCCCACTCTGTGCAAAAAATGGAAGAATGTCCTCGGGTGAGGATAAAAAAAAAAAAAAAAAGTAGAAGAGGGATGCAGAATGTTAGTGTCAGAGTGATAAGATGTGAGGCTTGACTGGCCTTTGTTAGCTTTGAAGATGGAAGAAGCTAGGAGCCAAGAAATGCAGGCAGCCTCTGGAAGCTGGACTAGGAGAGCAAACAGGTTTCCCATTAGGGCCTCCAGAAAGAACCAACCCTGCTGACACTTTTGTTACCGCAGTGAGACCCATTTCACACTTCTGATCTCCAGAACTGTAGAATAATTTTAAAAATGTATTTTTATTGACTTTAGAAAGAGAGGGAGAGGAAGATAAAGATCAATGTGAGACAGACATCAATGGCTGCCTCCTGCGCACCCCCCACTGGTTATGGAGCCAGCATCCTGGGCATGTGCCCTGCCTGGGAATCAAAGCAGAACCCCTCAGTCCATGGGACGACGTTCAATCTACTGCGCCACACTGGCTGGGCATGAGTGTAGAATATTTTTTGTATTGTTTTAAGTTTGAGGTTATCTATTATGGCAGCATGGAAAAGTAACATAGCATCCAAATGTAAATAGCTTACTCTGGAGAACAAAACACCTGAAGGGAGTTTAAAAGTTTTAAAGAAATATTGACAACTCATTATTTGATTCATACTAGTAAATTTCAATAATGTTTACACTTTGTTTCTAGTAAACTTAAATTAAAAAATTAAATTATACCCATTCAATTGTACTGTCATTCTTTTAATGATGTTTCAGAACAAAGAAAATGTTACAGAGTTATATGGGGTTTTTATCTGGTATAGAGGGCACAAGAAACACCAACAGAAAAATATTTGTACAGCTCCAAAATAGATTACTTACAAATATTTGCAAAATTCATTCTTATGAGATTCATGTACTTTTCACTTGATATAACAGTTTACAGAGATGAAAAATTAAAATAGAGCTTTCTTATTAGAAAGACAATAGTACATATTAGCCCTTGCTAAAAGTATTTGATAAGAAAGTGAAGATATTTTTATTCCCAGCTAATTGTCACATGCACTCTATTCTCTCTGCTTCTGCTTCGTTCTCACTGTGTCACTCTAGTATGCTTATCTCCTGAGTTCTCTCTGCATTTTGCCTCCTCTGTATATATCTGTGCCATGGCTTCTGGTGTCATTTCTTCTATTCCACTCTCCACTGGGACTTCGCTGCGGCCGTTTTCTTATTTCCCTTTGCTTGTAACGACTGTGACTTCTGCTCTGGCTTCTCCTGCTCCTCTCATCTCTGCTCCGGCTTCTCCGGCTCCTCTCATCTCTGCTCCGGCTCCTGCTCCTCTCATCTCTGCTCCGGCTTCTCCTGCTCCTCTCATCTCTGCTCCTCTCATCTCTGCTCCGGCTCCTGCTCCTCTCATCTCTGCTCCGGCTCCTGCTCCTTTCAGCTCTGTCAGCTCCTCTCCTCTCTGGGCTGTGGTTATGGCTTCTGCACTTTCTGTCAAAATCAGAATGACTCCATCTACTAGTCTCCCTAGAACGCCCTTGTTTTAAAAATCTAGGCTCTTCTTTGGCTTTTTCCATGTTACAGTGATTGCTAGAAAGTTCTTCAGCAAGTTTTCTCTTAGACTTGTCCTTTTCTTCTACATCACTATTTTTATTACTTGAACATTTGTTTTTCTTTCTTTTCTTCTTTTGTATTTTCTTTTCTTTGTTGTCACTATCACTGCTGCTTTCTGAAGTCTCACTGGAGGAGGAAGAAGAGGAGGAGGAAGAAGAGGAGGAAGAGGAAGAAGAAGATTTGTTTTTATGTTTTTTGTGTTTACTTCTGCTCTTCTGAAGCTTTTTCTTTTTTCTATCTTTTTTCTTTTTCTTTTTTTTCTTCTCAAGTCGATCCAATTTCCTGTTATGGGGAAAAACAGTAACAGACTAAAAATAGTCCTTTTATCGACAAGCAAAATTTTGAATAGAGAATATATTTTCTTAGAAGTTATTATAAGTGGTATTCAAATATAAACACATTTTATTAAATGACAAATCATTTTCTTCCTTTTAAATTATTCAAGTCACATATACATGAAATTTAAATAAAAAATTAAATGCATTAAGCCAATTCTCTCAGTACACTTTGCTCAATAGTAATGACTATTTAAAAGAAATTCATACTGAATCAAAATCTGAAAAGATATAGCACTCTACATAAATGGTCATTCTGACCTAAGGAAGGTTTGTAACATTCATTAACTGGACCGACTGCAAACTCAAATATATAACTATAATCAGATGAAAAACTGATTTATGTGTATACTATTTTAAACTATGGAAATATTAATATTACATTATCAAAATTCAAGAGCATATGATCCAGAAATTATGAATAAGAATACACTTTACATTTTTATACTTTTTTTTTGTTATATAAAATAATCACATACTGGTTTTCAATAATTATTTAGAATTCTAAACAATAGAATAATTCTATTAAGGCATCTTGAATTTCTAACGAGTACTCCACATTCTCAGAAGAGTAACTTGTTTATATGGCTATGTTTAAGTTACTCTGAAATAAAAAGGTCTTTCACTGGGTTTTGTCCATTCATTCTCAAAACTCAACATACGGAAATATCATGAGCTCCCTCTATTGGACTCAGCACACATTTCTTGGATTCTTTCATCTAGAGGTAGTATATTTAACAAGATTTATATTACTTTAAACTTAAGCATTTTTCAGCATTCCTCATAAAATCTTACAAAATATTAAAAGGGCAATACATGGCCCAAATTATGTTCAAAGAATAAATTACAAAGATACATACAAATCTATTATAACAAGTAAAACCTACAAATATTTATTTCCAAATTAAATGTTCTGAAAACTGCAATTTTTTTTTTGTGGTGTAGTCTGAATATATAATCTTAGATTCCTTTTCACATTATTGAAAGAAAGACAAAACTATTACTATAGCTGAAGAATAAATCATTAAATAAATGTGATATATTGTTTAAGTACTTCATGAGCTCTTAGGATCAGAGTTGAATATGATACTAAGATGAAACAAACCAAAAATGAAATTGAATCCATTAAACATATACTTTTTCATTACCTGAGAAGTTTCTGTTTTTGTTTGGTTGTTAGTGACTTTAAAAATTCCACTTCTGGATCTTCTTCACCCTCACTTGCAACATATTCCTGCGTCAACAAAGATCATTACACTGTAAGATTGTGAGACAAGTTAGTTATCAGACAGAAAATAAGACATAAGTAAGAAATTTTGTATTACACACTGTAGATGAATGTGACACTTAGGATAGAAAAGTGGGGGTGGGGATAAATCAAGGAGTATCATTACACACTAAGAGGCTAAGATGACAGCTTTGCCAGCATTAACAAACTTTAATCAGGAAGAGTATGATACAGTAACATGGATAAAATGTTTCTATCTCTTGAGTTTGAATTTAAATACTTGAAGGTTTAAAAGTTTCATTTTAAATTTAATGAAATATTAATCCAAGAAGATCATTAAATTTTGGGGAAGATGAAAACATCCACAATTTTAGCTTTTAAAATTTAAACAGTATATTATCAAATATATGATTAGCAAATACATATCAAATAAATCAAACAGTACAAATATATGATTATATAGGTTATACAAATAATCTCTAGTAATACGTTTTTTTTTATGATTTAAAAAAATTTTTTATTTTTTTGTTACAGATGTTTCTCTTTTTACCCCATTGACACCCTCCTCCCCATACCCCCTACCCCCTGTCCCCAGCTTTGTTGTCCATGTCCATTGGTTATCCATACATGCATATAAGTTCTGTGGTTTATCTCTTCCCACCCCCTCACCCCCTCTTCTGAGGGATGTCAGTCTGGCCCTACTTCCATGTTTCTGGGTCTACCGTATTCCTCAGACTGTAATGTTCATTATATTCCGTATATAAGTGAGATCATGTGGTATTTGTCTTTTTCTGCTTGGCTTATTTCACTTAGGATAATACTTTCCAGGTCCCTACATGTCGTCTCAAAGGATAAGAGATCGATCTTTCTTACAGCTGCATAGTACTCCATTGTGTATATGTACCATTGCTTTTTTATCCATTCATCTACTGATGGACACTTGGGCTGTTTCCAGATCTTAGCTATTGTGAGTAGTGCTGCTATGAACATGGGGGTACATACATTCTTCCTGATTGGTGTTTCAGGGTTCTTAGGGTATATTCCTAGAAGCGGGATCACTGGGTCAAATGGAAGTTCAATTTTTAATTTTTTGAGGTAACACCATATTGTTTTCCATAGTGGCTGCACCAGTCTGCATTCCCACCAGCAGTGTACTAGAGTCCCCTTTTCTCCACACCCTCGCCAGCACTTGTTGTTTGATGATTTGTTGATGGCGGCCATTCTGACAGGTGTGAGGTGATACCTCAATGTGCCTCTTTTCTGAGCAGCACAAGTTTACGCCAGTGAGAGACTGGGTGTTAGTCTCAGCTCTGTCTTAAATAGCCACATGACCTGAGTGAAATCAAAATCACTTAACTTCTCTGGGCTCCAGTTTCCTCATTAAATAAAATAAATGGTTTGCATTAGGATATCTACAACCATTTAAATTCAACCATTTTCTGGATCTATGGACAGTTCAATAAATTAATGTATAAAATATTTTCTATAATTTTAGGAGTTTTCTCTCATATACTTTTTCCCATTGGTTCTATTTATGTCACTTCAGGGGTAAGTTAGCAGGAAGGAAAAAAAAATAACAACCTTATGAGTTAGGTATTTCCACATAAACCCAGAGGAGCAGTTTCATTTATTAAAATATAGGTTTAAAAACAATCTCTCATTAAAGAAGCAAAATCAAAATACATTTATGCATTTTCTTTGCTCTACCTTGCTTTCCTATGGACATATGCATATTGAAAAACATTAAGAGGTAATTCACAAGCAATCACATTTAGATTTATAGACATTTTCAGCTTACTGATAAAAAGATCATTACCTGTGATGGATCATTTGCGGTCAAGTTTCTCCCCAGTACATTTCGTTTCAGTGCAAACCCACTGTTTCTCATCTCCGCTATTAGCTCCGAGGGGTGCATCGATGGCCCTGTTCACAAAAATCACAGTTTGAATGTATCATTTATATCTCTCTACCTTTTTCGGACTCCACAGTAGGAATGCAGTTGAAGCTTTGTTAAGTAAAATCACAGCTAAATCAACTCAATAATCTTCTGCTGAGCAAATAATCAGATACGATTTTCTAAAACAGCAGTCTGGAGATTCAGAATAGAAAATAATTGCATTTTTCTTTACGTGCTATGGGATTCTCTTCTTATGTAACTTGGTTATATTGAAAAGGATACATTTAGATGTTATTCCTTGGCAGTTTTTAGTACAAAATCAAAGCAAAATGATAAAAACTGGCATTAAACTTTTAATAGTTATTATCTTAGTTAAGAATTCAATTTAAAAGAGACACTTTGAAAAGTTCATTAGAAATTTATTATTCTAGTTTCCAATTCAAAAAATTCCTCACCTGTTCAGCCGCTGTGGCTCAGAGGTTGAGCATCAACCATGGACCAAGAGGTCACCTGTTTGATTCCCAGTCAGGGCACATGCCTGGGTTGCAGGCTTGATCCCCAATAGGGGGTGTGCAGTCAATTGATGTTTCTATCTCTCTCTCCCTTTTCCCTTCCTCTCTCTCTAAAAAAAAATCAACAAAACATATTAAAAAAAACACAAAAAACAAAAACAATTCCTCACCCTTACTTATCAACTACCAATACTGAGTACATTGCCATGTGGTAGCTAATTATCAACAACACACCACACACACACACACACTCTCTCTCTCTCTCTCTCATGCATATGCTATGGGTATTGTTTCTATAAGTTCTTCAATTAATCTTGTGCATGCAAGCATGTGTGTGTGTGTGTGTGTTTGTGTGTACACACCTCCAGAGTCTGAAATGTCTAAGTATTAGTGTGACATTGGTGAAAAGCAATTTTAGGCTGGCTATAGGTTTGTATATGTTATATTTTTCACCAGCTGCTATTTCTTCTTTTGCAAAATCCCGAACTGAAAAGCGAGCTGCTTTTTTGGTTAGATAATATATACTAAAAAAAATAATACAAAATAAAGATAGTCAATTAAAAAACAAAAATTGCTAAACATCTGAGCCCTTCCCTCAAACGTCATTAGGTTTACATGAGGTAGAAGAGACTCTTTACTTTTTCTTTTGCATATTCCACTTTCATTTTGTTTTCCCTGCAGGTAGCAAACAGTGACAACAGTTCATGAAAGCTATCCACATTTGTGGCCTAAATCAATACTGGCTTAAATGAACTACACTGGGCGATGTATCTGGAATATAAGGAAGAATAAGACAATTCCTGTAAACAAGAAATGCATAAGGGAGGTGGGGGACAAACATTCAAAAATGGATTCTCTGGTTTGATTAAGTACTTCATCTATTTCTTTTTACTGCTTTATTGAAAGTTCACCTATATGTTACCATTGAAAACAAAAGGCAATAACATTTAAATCTGCTCACTTGTCAGTAGCATCTTTGGTAAAAGTTTGGTTGAAGAGTTCAGGTGTAAGTTAATATCTTTTACTGGACCCTATGGGCTTCAAAAATTTTTTTTGTTTCTTTATTGGTTTTAGAGAGGAAGGGAGAGGGAAAGAGAGACAGAAACACTGATGAAAGAGAACATCAATGGCCGACTCCTGCATGCCCCCCACTGGGGACTTGGCCCACAACCTGGGCATGTGCCCTGACCAGGAATCAAACCGGTGGCTTCTTGGTGCATGAGACGATGCTCAACCACTGAGCCACACTAGCCAGGCATCAACAACTGTTTTAGATGTCAAATGAATTCAGCACTTTCAATTACTTCAAGAAAATGATCTCTTTCCCCAGTCTGACAGAGAGTATACAGATTATGAGAGAAACATTCCTCTTCTAGCATTTGTATTTCTCCAAAACCTCAACTGAACTCTGTAGTATATATGCTTAGCATACCCTTCCACATTATAAGACTCTAAATACAGTGCTTAGTGAAATACCTGATAAACAGTACTCAATAAATATCTAACAATTATTATTTTTGCCAGTAGCTATAAAATTTTTATGATTATCTTCATAAGTAAAAAATACTCTTAGTTGTAACATTTTTGAAAATCCTGTCTTATTCACACATATTTTTCTATCATCAATTCCTGGGTTTGAAAGATGTGACAAGTTAGATTTAAAGATATATTTAGTAAGATGTCTTTATACTTTCATGTTATTGTGACAGTGGCTAGGTAAACTGACAGAAACGACTCTTTGATAACTCAAGATTTAGTTGATTTAATAGTATATACTGAAAAAATTTTTACAAACATGTTCAAATGCAAAATCACTACTTTTTATAAAATTGATTTTTAGAGAGAGAAAGGAAGGAGAGAGAGAAACATCGATATGTGAGTGAAACATTGATTGGCTGCCTCCTGCATGTCCCCCTACTGGGGATCGAGCCCCCAACCTGGGCATGTGCCCTACCCAGAATCGAACCAACAACCTTTTGGTGCACAGGACGACACTCAACCAACTGAGCCGCACCAGCCAGGGCCAAAATCACTATTTTTATATATGGTGCCTCAATATTTTAAATTACAGCTGGAGTTGGGGCTCAGGAATGTATGGTTTGCTCTTAAAGTGATTAGACCCAGACTACTTTCTACTTTAAAAATACCATAAAGTCATTGTCTCAGGGGAAAAAAATCCCTCAGGAGGTGAATTATGTTGTACAAAATGTTTGTAAAGGATTTAATATATGCATTGAGAGCATTCACTTTTATAGAACTAAGCAAAAGCAATGGAAGGTAAAACACATTCTGTAGTAAAATAGGCATTTCATCAGAGAATAATAAGGAAAGTTCTGGCCATTAGGCCATCCCACTGACTTTACAATTAGATGATAACAGTCCCAGGTTAATCCACAGATGGCACAGGAGGAAGACTAATGCTAAAGGCAAAGACACTTTGTGTTTCACAGCAAGCACTAGAACAGATGTATCTTCCATTCAAAGTGTGTGTGTGTGTGTGTGTGTGTGTATTTTAATAACTTTATACTATGGAAAAGTTCCAACCTAGAGAGAATAATGTAATTAATGAACCTTATGTAGTCATCAAACAGCCATTATCAATATTTTGCCATTCTTGTTTTATCTATTAGCTCTAACTTTGCTTATTTTTTGAAGGGTATTTTAAGTAAATCTCAGATATATACATTACTAACAAATAAGGATTATTTCTTAAAAACAAAACCCCAACACCTTTATCATACCTATCGAAACATTTTAAAATAGCATCTAATATCCAGTCAACATTCAATTTCCCTGGTAGTCTCAAAAGTATTTTTATAATTGTTTGTTCATATTAGGATCCAAACAAGGCCCACAGATTGCATTTGTTTCATATATCTCAAGTCTCTTATTTTGTATTGATGTATAACTGACACATACCTTAAGTCTCTTTTACTCTAAATTTAGTCACCTCTTCCATTACTACTATTCACTTATTGAAGAAATTTAAGTTATTTGTCCTGTAGAACTTTCCACATTCTGAATAGGGACATCATTTAATTTGTTCTTCTAGCCCTTGTATTTTTTTAATTTTTTAACAGTTGGAAAAATTTTTTTTTCTTTATTGATTTTAGAGAAAGAGGGAGAGGGAGATAGAAACATCAATGAGGGAAAACATCCACTGGCCGCCTCCTGCATGCCCCCCACTGGGGATTTGGCCCACAACCTGGGCATGTGCCCTGATCGGGAATTGAACCACTGACCTCTTGATGCATGGGTCAATGCTCAACCACTGAGCCACACCGGCCGTGCAATCCTTATATTTCCTGTAAATCTTTAGTTAGGTCTAGAGGCTTAATATTAAATTATTTTGGTACCTTATACAACGTATTTTGGGGAAATATATGGAAAGTCTTCTAAAGTTTGAAGACTTCTGGTATCAGGAAATGATACCAGAAAACACATTTCTGGCTGATGAACTAGACTAAGGAAAAAAGGCTGAGACTTCAACCTGGTGTTCCTGCTTTCACCATGTATTTACTATAGTGACAGCAACAGTGGTATAACCTTAAAAACATGTGTTTTAAACATTAACATAAATAAATTATGATTCTTATTTCCATGAAGGTACAATCTTGTTTCCTGAAGTTAAATAGACTGTATCTAGTGAAAAAGTCACTCCTTATCACTAAATGTAAAAAGGACACTTAGACACTAGTTCTAGTATACGTTCAAGCAAAAGATCTGCACCTAGTGGGAATTACCAAGAATTATTTTACACTTATATTTCATTCCAAATATTACCTAACCTTCTTGCTTTTAAGAAAGCTTATAGCCCTGGCCGGTTTGGCTCAGCGGTTAGAGCGTCGGCCTGCGGTCCTGAGAGACCCGGGTTCGGTTCCCGCTAAGGGCATGTACCTCGGTTGCAGTTTGTCCCCGGCCCTGGTTGGTCGTGTGGGTGGCAGCCACTCGATGTGTTCCTTTCACATCGATGTTTCTCTCTCTCTCTCTCTGTTCCTCTCTCTCCCTCCCACTCTACCTGAACAAAAAAATGGAAAAATGTCCTCGGGTGAGGATAAAAAAAAAAAGAAAGCTTACAGAAACTTATCTTTAAAAAGACTGGAAAGGGGGCACAGTAGGAACATGCAGCACAAGTCCCAGGAAAAGAGTGAACAAAGCTATTAATAAAGTGTGTGGGTGATTTTTATTTATATAGATGAGAATGTTTTATGTATGATTTTCTAAAGGTTATACAAGAACCAATTGTACTGAATTGTAATAAAACTGCTCCATACTGGGAATTTTCCTGACACACTGCCAGTTCATCTCTGTGGAGGCTGAAAACAATAGGGTTTCTTATTGCTCTTATCCCAAGTTCATACTGAAGACAGCTACTTTGACTTCTATTAAAACATACACTATAAAGGAAAAATTCAACATTTGGCCCACAACCTGGGCATGTGTCTAGAAAAGAAACAAAAGCAAGGAAAGATAAAACTGCTCTTATTGTATGCTAATAGAAAACATTACTTACT